TATTAGCAATTTTCTTCCGACGTCTGATTTCTTTTTAAAAAATGAGTTTCTAAAGTGCATAAACTTTTGGGATTGACTTGTATAGCGAACACATCCTTAAAGGACACTGCCTATTACGAAATTTATACGACGGAAGAAACTTCGATTTATAATTAATCTTTTAAACTACGAAGTTTTTAATTGAAGTTAAATTTTGTATAAAAAGTCATCAAATATTAAATATTTTTGTCTATTTAAACGTTTGGACTTGATCTGTATACAAGTTGATTCTATAGAACAGATCTCTGGTCTTCCCTTTACATAGAATTATTTATTTACTCGAGTTTTGTTTATTCCTATTATTTTTATATGCTTTCACTTTGAATGTGAGTCTTACTATATAAATCTCTTCGATCTTCGTGTTTAATCGACTGTCTGGAAAAGCCTAGTTGAAAATGGATTTACTTTGCTTTTTTTTTCACGTTTGCTTTCCTCACTTTCCACTTTCGGATTTTTATTAAAAATTACTTCTACTTGTCGAACTGAATACATTTTTTTATAGATGATAAACGCGAACCGGTCTACGCAGATCGGGTCTACGATTTCTTGATAAATTCAGGTTTATTTCGAAATAAGAAATAAACTACTAAAAATAAATCGAGGGGTTAAGGTTTTATGATCCGTAAGATCACTGCTAAAAGTTTAACACGTGGTAAAAATTTCTGTTCAATATTTAAAGCAATGAACTTTTAGAAAAAATAATTATTACAGAGGAGTGAGGCTAATATTCTAATACACAGTTTTGGCACTTTTTTAAGTGGACTGTACGTGACTTGCAAATGTCTACATTGTCTACATATTATATTTATAATTCATACTTTTGCATATTTTTTTTCTATATCTCTAATAATATTCTCAACATTATCTCAACTTAAAAATATTTTAAAGTGTATTCAAAATTATACAAAATTACAAAATTCTGTTATTCATCGCATTCATATTTTTTCATAAATGAAATAAAAATTC